GAAGGAGGAAATCGTGTCGGAGATACTGTATCCCTACTTACACACCAGTTAACGAAACAAACATCACAGCAAACAGTACATCTGGGACAAATATTCAACCTTGAATATCCCCACTCTGTGGAAAAAACACATCCGTGGCTGGTTGGAACAATGGTCGATAACAAATGATTAGACACTAAGCATTTGCGATAAGATTGAAGAGCCATTAACACACGGCCTACGGAGCAATTCTACCCTACTCCCCAACCCCAGCCGCCCCCATGCACTCACCCATCCACAACCACACCCACACCCACACCCGCACCCACATACCCAAGGCGTCTTCCAAGTACCCTAGATCGGTCTTCTTTGAGAGGGAATCGTATATTTGCCACGATATACGTAATCGCCTGACAAACCACACTGACTAGATGAGACCACGTCGAAATAAATTGTTTACGATAAAAGGTGATTCCGCTCGCGTTTCTTCGCGATCAGCTGGAAGAAATACAATAAACATTGATTTTCAAGTAGCACTTTCAGTCCTACTATAACGCCTAGGACGGATACATATTTACCTCTCGGTTGACGATGAGGCCAGACCCAATACCACGACAATACTTGAGGATACACTTGGGGAACTTGATCAATTTCCTCGAAATATCCGGTTCATTTGCATGCGTTCATTCTTATTATAATATTATATATCTTATATTATTTCTATGAAACTGTCCTACCGTGGTGTCCTAACGGGTTAGAGATGGCAACTCATTGTTTTCATTCGGAAAACATCTTTGATGCTCATTCGTTTTTTGACAAGTTTTTGACATTTGCACATTCATAAGAGTACCGGTCGGCAGTCATTGTGAAACAAAGAGTTGGACTACAGGATTCAACGATCAAAGAACGGCTTCGTGTTGCAAGTTTTCAAGGTACTGTGTCGCTCATGTCCCAGCCAAAGTCGCAAACATAATCTCCCCGCAGTAATTTAAGCATCACCCACTATACAGAGCTTCGCCTGTTCGGTCCGAGTTCGTAAACTTGGCTCCGTCTCTCGGATCTGCGCATACCAGATCGCGTACCATTCCAGTATTATAACAGAGTTTACAAGTGTTACGTGATCTTTCATCATGTATGCATAATCTCTTTGAAACAACATTACCTCAAACTGAATTCCATGAAGGATGTTTTATTAAAACCAAACCTGGTACAGAACGAGCAACACTGAATATGTTCTGTAAGCATGACATGCAAGTCTGGTGTGAATGACATTCCACATCCCAGTCACACTGGTCGAGGATCACTGTGTTCTGATAAGAACCAAATGTGTACTTGACCTCCCTCGACTAATGAAGAATCTCCCACACGTCTCTATTCCAAGTTGTACATACAGTGTATTAGTGAGTGAGTGAGTTTGGTTTTACGCCGCTTTTAGCAATATTCCAGCAATATCACGGACACCAGAAATGGGCTTCACACATCGTACCCATGTCGGGATTGGAACCCGGGTCTTCGGCGTGACGAGCGAACGCTTTAACCACTAGTCTACCCGACCGCCCCTACAGTGTATTAACATTCTTTACATAGTGTTTTTTGAAATACCAAGTTGCCCAAACTCGCCAGATATTCAAGGACGTTTACACGATGGAACACAACTTGGTCTCTGGTAAGGTGATTCTTTCCGGGAGTATGTTTCATTTATTGGTAATTCATGCCTCCCAGGTCAATATTTGTATAACCTCCTTGGTCAATATCTTTTCACAATTGATAAAACTAATTTATTTTTCACAGAGGAAATGTTTTTAACGTGTATCGAACTTTCTGTCAGATAACTTGCAATGTTTAGTTGTAAGCGATTTCTACCTCCCTGTACCAGGATAGTAGTCTTAAACATGAATAACGTTGGTCAGTTTAATCATCCCGACATGCCAATAGTAATCAGTCCGCATTATCATCAACACAGCCTACTGACGGGATACCACAGACCATATTACACGAATCCAATATGTGGTGAACAGTTTGTCTTTACAATTTACCATAACTATGACTGGATGTCCGAGTCGTGTCATCAATCTGTTTAATCAAAACCTCTGTTCACCGGGCTCACAGCAAAGCTTTTGTGTCGCGCTGGCAGCGACAAACAGTTTATTAACACTTGGTTCATCGAATCACCTCATGTACCGCCAACCACAATCACCTCATCAACATGGCCAGCGTCTATCGTTACCACCTACCACTTACATCACCCCTTCTCATGGACACATGCAGGACCACAGGTGTGTCATTAAACTCGCCCCAGAGGTTTGGGTCTGACATTCTATACTGTAATTATCGCCATGGTCAAAGAGTAAGCAGGTGTGGATTGGTGAAGTAATAAACGAGGACTGGCGTTTACTTCGCGTATATCACTCAAATAATTTCATCCCTGTAGTTTGAGTTGATTTTTGTTTTCGGGAATATAAAATTGATGAAAAGTCAAAGTGATTGCTCTCGGGGTATATTTGAGGTTATGGTGGATGTTGGGTCCAGTGCCGTAGCCAGCTCAGGGATGAGTGGAGGGGGTGGGGAGGGGAGAGCAGTTGACCCCCCCACCCCACCCCCACCCCCCACCCACCCCACCCCCCACACATACACCGGAGTTTGCATGGAAAACAGTGTTATTTGAATCAAGTTGGTGACAAGTGATACTTGCCCAAATATTTCCCTCCCCACCCCCACCCCCCACCCCCCGTCAAAAAAGGTTAACTACGGCCTTGGGGTCATATAAATGAACGCACCATGCATGTGTTCACACACTGGCATGACATACCTGCGGCCGAATCAGGTTGGGTGTAGGGGTGGATGTTGAGTGTATTCGACACGCCATGACACTAGTACATCCATAACATAAAGCCGAGAGCATACAAGTTGCAAGTGGGAAGTGGAGGGTTGGTTGTGGCGAGGGGGTTGTATTAGACCTGGTAGTATATACAGTGATATATGCATTCAAGAGTTCCACAGACAACATGGTAATCTCTGTGGGGGCACATTGGCGAGGTCTGCTTCAGACTACACATTATGTTTCAGCTGTGTAATTACATGTAATGAACTGAGGGGCTCTTTCCGTGACGGCAGGAGACTACTACCCCGCGGCCTGAGACGAAGGCCGGAAATGTAGCCGTACAAAAACCCGGACTCACGGTAATGGGGTATAGCTCTCTCAAGGTCACGTAATCACAAGCTGTTCGCCCCGATGTTTAAAACATAAATGAAAAATGTAATTAAAAGACATATTGATACTACTAAACGAAAATACTAAACTGAACATTAGACAAAAAAATTGCATCATGCATGTATGTGTCAAGGGAAGGTAAACAAGCACGGGGCCATGCAACTAGCATTTTACACAAACAACTATTTGCTGGTATAAAATATAAGTTGCATGGCCCTGTGTTAAAAATATAAGTCTTAGTTCTACAATAGAGCATTGTTTCCGTTAATCACAGAATAGTCATTAGTATCTCCGCATTGGGCTAGTAATGATCGTGACCATGTAATGACAACTTAGTTCCATTAGCCATTTGTGATGAAATATTAAGAATACTCGTGGTATCTATTCCGTATAACGTAGAGATTACAACAATCACCCATACTAGCATTCAACATATACGACTGTTGAAATGTACTCCCATATGATGTATGTAGCCAATATAGTATAGTCCAGTTGGTGTATAGAGCTATATGGACGTATGTAGCTAGACTTACATCTAGTCTCTGAAATGAACACATCTTACAGAAAAAAAACTGTTGTTAAATTATCTTTAAAAAAATATAATGAATAGGAGCCCAGATACTCTTCATTTTCAGCCTGATAATGCAGTAATCTAGACTTACCAAATATCATAGACTTGCTTGGGCTGTATTGGATATATTTGTTTCAGGGTCTGTATGACAGATTTTATGTAGCCTATAATGTTTAGTCCGAGTCGGTGTATAAGGCTATATGGACGTACATAGCCTATATTGCCTAGTCCAGTTGGTGTATAACGCTATATGGACGTATATAGCCTGTACTGTGTGGTCCGAGTTGGTGTATAACGCTATATGGACGTATATAGCCCATAGTGTCTAATCCGATTTGGAGTATAACGCTTGATGGACGTATATAGTCTTTATTGTCTTGTCCGTGTTGGTGTATAACGCTATACGGACGTATATAGCCTATAGTGTCTAATCCGACTTGGAGTATAACGCTTGATGGACGTATATAGTCTTTATTGTCTTGTCCGTGTTGGTGTATAACACTATATGGACGTATATAGCCCATAGTGTCTAATCCGAGTTGGTGTACAACGCTTTATGGAAGCGCAAGAAGATGTTTATTCTACGTGGTGCGATGGCCATGTTGTCGTCTAGCAGGCAGTTAACGTGTGTTATGTTACACGAGATATATCGGGTCGGTGTCAACGGAGGCCACCTAAACCACTCCGTAACCGCAAGCCATATGTTTAGATTTATCAGCACAAGTTTAACTACAAAAAAACAACCAGCACGTGTCGATACCGCTATGAAAACATGTCGAGGGGTTTAGCGGTGTCTGTTGAACCAGATATCTTTACGACCATAACATTTCGGCATAATGTAAGCACACAGTTTAATTCCATGGTATCGTGTTAAGATTACACAAATACTTCAGCTGTGTGAGACATTATGATAAATGCTGCTTTTCTAGAGATTATTTCATGGCATTCTTTCCTATTTAGTCTGTGTTAAAACCATTGCTGTCATAGAACATAATTAATAATTTCTATTCACATCATACGTTATTGCAGGTGTTAGTTAAGCTATAAGCACATGGATGAACATACGGCATGACAGCTGCCTTCATAACGTCCGTGAAAAAATGTAATAATGACAATATATCGGATCTTTCTACAAACGACACAATTTCATAATAACACTTTCCATGGAGCATGTTAAACGCTAAAACGGAAACCAAAATACCTTGACAGTGCCCCGTATTATCGGCCTTAAAAACTTACAGTAATCTTCATATTTGGTTTCCCCGAGATAGATCCGGCGTAAGGGGACGACACACTTGTGTCCGTTACTTCCGTACGTATGATCTGTCCGTGTGCGGCGTGGTAGGTGGTGGTACTGTAAGATGGGCGTGGTGAGTTAGAGTCGTCCGACTCGCGACAGTAGACTACCCCAGTCTGTGAGACATGAATACTGGGTGTGCACCCCATCCCCTTGCTCACTCCTCCTGAAACGATGCCGAAGGGGTGGATTTAGTCGCCGTCAGCAGTCCCGGACACTGTTAGGGTGGCTACCATTCTGGGTCTGTTCCGTGTAATCCTTTCCGTAACATAGGTTTATCCACAATATGTCAAGTTGCGGCACGGAATAGCGACGTGGTGATATTTATATGATATTTAGGTATGAATCCCTCCGAGAATTAATATCTCTGTACACAGTCGTGGTTTAGATACGGTGTATCATAGTACAGTTCCTCCAAATCTGTCGACATGAATGGGCACTGCGAACACTTATCATGGGTTAGATGAGTTAGTCAGAACTTGACTGACTGGCTATAAAGTAGACCCTCTCTCTAGAGGTCAGATTGCGCCTCACACTTGTAGCTCCAGGTCTAGTACAGTTCCAGAGAGATTGAACGCCGGCACACTAGAGAGCCGGTGGTGGCCCTGTTGCAACACATTCCTGCTGTACTCGCCAGTGTCAGCGAGGCAAGTCACTATAGAACCAGACAAGCCACAACAGTGTATTACCCAGGCGAGTGGAAATATTACAGAAACAGACCAATATTGGTTAACATGGGAACGGCGATGTCTCTGTGATGTCAACACTAAATTCGGCCGATCCACCAATCCGGTCCGTTCGACGACCACGTGACACCAGGGCGTGACGTCAATGAAACCCCGGCAAATATGATATTTAAGGTCGTTTTCGTCCTCGGGGCTGGACGCCACTAGCAGGAACAATCGCAATAATCACTTGGAAACTATCAATCGGAGATGAAGCGGTGTCCAGTTCGATTGAAAGACCAGATCGACGACACGATGTCCGTGTAGACTCGAGGGTGTCACCGGTTTACGCCATAAGTGCGGGACCATATGTATTATACTGAAGAAGGCATGTAAACAAGCCAGCACGCGTAGCCTCTGTTTTAGCTCCACCGGTAACAGTGAAATTGTGTCACCTTGTCGGGGATCAATTGAAGACAGCTACACTCTAACGCGCGTCTGTCATTCCCCACGCTCGCTCGTCGGTGTTATCGCTGCTCGCTCGTTGGCCAGCGTTCTCTCGGACACCACGGCTACAGTTCAACCAGGCCGGGAAGACCCTCCCTTCCACGACACCAATAACAACCAACGAACTGTTCGTCATCCAGCAACCGACAGCAGTGGGAGAAAATCGGCGTTAATTCAGCGAGGGCACCTTTAGAGTTGGACTTAGGAAAATCAATGAGGGTTCTAGATACAGCGTTTCAGAGCACAACGGAGAGGAGCAACAGGCAGTCTCAATTTAACTGTAGCTGCGTACAATTAAGGAACACGAGCCCTATTATTCTTCTGTCGTCTTGTTAATTGTCTAATGGGACATATTTTGCACGTGCAGTGGTCATGCACGTGCGGCAGAAAATGGTACAAGGAACTTACTTGGGTTTCTTAAATGGTGAGTGATGACGTCACAGAGTCAATAACAGCGAATATGTAGCTTTGCGGAAACGTCTCTGCTCTGATTGAAACGTTGATTTTTTCATCAGATATTTTCAGCGGTCCTTCTGAACAGTACGGGAGCTCTTGCACACAATCACGAATCTGATGAAACTAGTGTAGGTGTACGAGGTCGGTATATTTATTTATTACTTTGAAAAATAGCCATAGATTTCCTTTTTTCAGTAATTGCGATATATTAAGATGCCAAATACGTTACAAGGTTTGTGTCTCATGCGTTATGTCCATTAGTGCTGTACGATATGATGTGAAATGGTTAAATCCGAGTTTGCACGACATAAACGGATGTTATGGTGAGCTATATTTATACCAGAGATCAAATAATTATTCTATTCAGATATGCGTTTCTATAACAACGGAAACTAACGAGCATTATAGAAATATGTTTCATCGAGTTACCACAATAGTTTAAGTGTGGATCTCATCAGCAGGACCCGTGAAGATCAGGGGTAGAATAGGTTTTTAGCAACCCATGCTTGCTGTAAAAGGCGACTATGCTTGTCGTAAAAGGCGACTAACGGGATCGGGTGGTCAGGCTCGCTGACTTGGTTGATACATGTCATCGATCCCAATTGCGTGGATCGATGCTCATGATGTCAATCACTGGATTGTCTGGTCCAGACTCGATTATTTTACAGACCGCCGTCATATAGCTGGAATATTGCTGAGTGCGGCGTTAAACAAACAAAACAAACAAACAAAGCATACATATTGAAAAGTGGACGTTACGAAGCACTCGAAACTATGGATCCAAATCAAAACCATCACCATCGAATAACCATATAACTCATGTATGTGCCACCATCGAACATGGGTATATACTTTCTTTTGCCAGGTAGTCTTAATATGGGTTGATAGAAAAATGCATATTATGCGTAGATTTTGTAAAGATATGCAGTCAAATCTCTCGTGAGACCCATTCATCGTAAAGAGTCGGAACAGTTTAAATAAAACTCATTGTATTTGTACTTCCTGGTAGCTCCTATAGCCACCCAGAACGCTCGTCAGTGTTAAATGTGTAGTTGATAGTATTGGACAATAGGCGATAACAACGTTTTGTACAAGGAAAATACTGTAAATATGAAAATCAACAAGTCACCGAAAGAGGAAGCGACAGGAAAACTTAGAAACTGAAACTTGCTGGCGGGATGTGACATGGTAACTCCCCGTGAAATATGCTGGCGAGATGTGACATGGTAACTCCCCGTGAAACATGCTGGCGGGATGTGACATGGTAATTCCCCGTGAAACATGCTGGCGGGATGTGACATGGTAACTCCCCGTGAAACATGAAACATGCTGGCGGGATGTGACATGGTAACTCCCCGTGAAACATGCTGGCGGGATGTGACATGGTTACTCCCCGTAAAACATGCTGGCGGGATGTGACGTGGTAACTCCCCGTGAAACATGCTGGCGGGATGTGACATGGTAACTCCCCGTTAAACATGAAACATTTTCGCGGGATGTGAAATGTAACTCCTCGTGAAACATGAAACATGCTGGCGGGATGTGAAATGTAACTCCTCGTGAAACATGAAACATGCTGGCGGGATGTGAAATGTAACTCCTCTTGAAACATGAAACATGCTGGCGGGATGTGAAATGTAACTCCCCGTGAAACATGCTAGCGGGAGGTCACATCTTAACTCCCCTTGGCACATGCTGGCGGGATGTGACATGGTAACTCCCCGTTAAACACGAAAAATGATGGCGGGATGTGACGTGGTAACTCCCCTCGACACATGCTTGCGGGATGTGAAATTTAACTCCCCGTGAAACATGAAACATGCTGGCGGGATGTGACATGGTAACTCCCCTTGAAACATACTGGGGGGATGTGAAATGTAACTCCCCTTGAAACATGAAACATGCTGGTGGGATGTGACGTTTTTCCTCCCCGTGAAACATGAAACATGCTGGCGGGATGTGACATGGTAACTGCCTTTGACACATGCGGGCGGGATGTGAAATGTAACTGCCCTTGAAACGTGAAACATGCGGGCGGGATGTGAAATGTAACTGCCCTTGACACATGCTGGCGGGATGTGAAATGTAACTCCCCTTGACACATGCTGGCGGGATGTGACATGGTAAGTCCCCTTGACACATGCTGGCGGGATGCGACATGGTAACGCCCCTTGTTACATGCTGGCGGGATGTGACATGGTAACTCCCCGTGAAACATGCTGGCGGGATGCGACATGGTAAGTCCCCTTGACACACGCTGGCGGGATGTGACATGGTAAGTCCCCTTGACACATGCTGGCGGGATGCGACATTGTAACGCCCCTTGACACATGCTAGCGGGATGTGACATGGTAACGCCCCTTGACACATGCTGTCGGAATGTGACATGGTAACGCCCCTTGACACATGCTAGCGGGATGTGACATGGTAACGCCCCTTGACACATGCTGGCGGGATGCGACATGGTAACGCCCCTTGACACATGCTGGCGGGATGCGACATGGTAACGCCCCTTGACACATGCTGTCGGAATGTGACATGGTAACGCCACTTGACACATGCTAGCGGGATGTGACATGGTAACGCCCCTTGACACATGCTGGCGGGATGCGACATGGTAACGCCCCTTGACACATGCTGTCGGAATGTGACATGGTTACGCCACTTGACACATGCTAGCGGGATGTGACATGGTAACGCCCCTTGACACATGCTGGCGGGATGCGACATGGTAACTCCCCTTGAAACATACTGGGGGGATGTGAAATGTAACTCCCCTTGAAACATGAAACATGCTGGTGGGATGTGACGTTTTTCCTCCCCATGAAACATGAAACATGCTGGCGGGATGTGACATGGTAACTGCCTTTGACACATGCGGGCGGGATGTGAAATGTAACTGCCCTTGAAACGTGAAACATGCGGGCGGGATGTGAAATGTAACTGCCCTTGACACATGCTGGCGGGATGTGAAATGTAACTCCCCTTGACACATGCTGGCGGGATGTGACATGGTAAGTCCCCTTGACACATGCTGGCGGGATGCGACATGGTAACGCCCCTTGTTACATGCTGGCGGGATGTGACATGGTAACTCCCCGTGAAACATGCTGGCGGGATGCGACATGGTAAGTCCCCTTGACACACGCTGGCGGGATGTGACATGGTAAGTCCCCTTGACACATGCTGGCGGGATGCGACATGGTAACGCCCCTTGACACATGCTAGCGGGATGTGACATGGTAACGCCCCTTGACACATGCTGTCGGAATGTGACATGGTAACGCCCCTTGACACATGCTAGCGGGATATGACATGGTAACGCCCTTGACACATGCTGTCGGGATGCGACATGGTAACGCCCCTTGACACATGCTGGCGGGATGCGACATGGTAACGCCCCTTGACACATGCTGTCGGAATGTGACATGGTAACGCCACTTGACACATGCTAGCGGGATGTGACATGGTAACGCCCCTTGACACATGCTGGCGGGATGCGACATGGTAACGCCCCTTGACACATGCTGTCGGAATGTGACATTGTAACGCCACTTGACACATGCTAGCGGGATGTGACATGGTAACGCCCCTTGACACATGCTGGCGGGATGCGACATGGTAACGCCCCTTGACACATGCTGTCGGAATGTGACATGGTAACGCCCCTTGACACATGCTAGCGGGATGTGACATGGTAACGCCCCTTGACACATGCTGGCGGGATGCGACATGGTAACGCCCCTTGACACATGCTGTCGGAATGTGACATGGTAACGCCCCTTGACACATGCTGGCGGGATGCGACATGGTAACGCCCCTTGACACATGCTGGCGGGATGCGACATGGTAACGCCCCTTGACACATGCTAGCGGGATGTGACATGGTAACGCCCCTTGACACATGCTGGCGGGATGCGACATGGTAACGCCCCTTGACACATGCTGGCGGGATGTAAAATGTAACTCCCCGTGAAACATGAAACTTTACACACATGTATAGATTTGTATTGACATATCGCGATGCACCGAATGCAACGGAACTTCTTTCTGACACAGAGAAGGTTGAACAGTATATGGTGTACTTCCAGATCCCTGATGCAGGATTACCTGTACACATATGACGGGAGAGCTGCGGTCTCGGCTACCGCCGTCTCGATGTTCCTCCATCAAAGGTACGTATAACAGGATCTTCATATTGCTGTTCCGTGTGCTGTGAATTATCTTCGCCGTCGTGGTTAATTTACCATCGTGAGCAAAGCTAAACAGCACACACAAATTTCGGGCAAAGGTTACATATAACCCATGTATCACACAGACCAAAAGTCGTGGTTTTACAATGAGGTAATGGGGCTGTGTGAGGCCCTAGCATGGTAAAGAGAAATCACTGTTACTTGCAGTGGTAAAGGACTGAAACCCGCTTTGTATTATTACCTTAGCGGCATCCATATATTAATTCCCGAAGGATGAAATAACCATACAACTCGATATAATCATATATCAGACGCACGCAGATGCCACCCTGGATTTTTTATAGAAAACAGTTTTATTTGAATCAAGTTGGGGGCAAGTGTTACTTGTACAAATATTTGCCCCCCAATGTAAAAAAAAGTTAACTACGGCCTTGGTAT